GACAACTAGTCAAAGAGATCATCAATTTTGGGAGGGGATACTTGTTCTTGATCGTGATCCTGTTTGATCCCCTATAGTCAATACACAATCGTAATGTCCCGTTCTCTTTCCTTGCAAATGTGACTCTAGCACCCCAAGGAGATACACTATGCTGGATGAATCCACTGTCCTGTAATTGATTGATCTATTTCCTCAGTTCTTCTATCTCGATACGACTCATGCGGTAAGGGGCCACCGAGATAGGTTGGGTACCAGGCTGGAGATCTATGGTGCACTCAACTTCTTTGTCCATCGGTAGTCTAAATAGTTCCTCAAAGAACACATCAGAGAAGTCTCAGACTACTAGAATCTATTGAATGCAGACTTCTTTCTTAGGTTTTCCCTCTATCACATCTGGGTTGGCTTCAGCATCTTGTTGAGTGAGTCTGTAAACTCTACCCTAGATAGAAGGTCTGGTATGATTGTAGTTCCGCGGGCACTCTCTCATGTAGTGTAGGGTACTCCCACATATGTGGCAGATATTATTAAGACGATAGTATGGTCGGTCCTCATGATCCTTGCCACAATGCTGGCAAGTCCTATCGTATCTTGTTAATGGAGGCTGAAAAGGAGCATGAGTCACTGGCCTAAGCTTCTTGTTATACTGAGCTGGTGTAGTGGGTGCTGGTTTACGGTGTGAAACGGGGGAGTCTAGGATTCCCCATTATTGAAGGAAAGATGCGAAGGTTCCTATTCACTAACTGGGTAGAGGTAGAACGGATGAGTAAGTACTGAGCTCAAAATACGTACAGTTGTTATAATGATCTCAGGGCGAAGGCCCCACTCAAACTTCCTTGCCTTCCTGCCTTTATTCATCATGCTCTCATAAGAATACCGACACAACTGTAAGAACCTTCGGATATACTCTGACATAGTCATCTCACTTTATACTAGATGTGTAAACTTCATCTCCTTCAAATGTCAAAGGTACTCTAGGAGGTACTCTACATTGAAAACCATCAGGAACTGTTCCCAAGTGACTCAAACGGGGTGACCTACTTAAACTGCCACCAGCGACCTACCTCTCCCACAAGCATGTAGGTGGTAAATATAACCTTCTGTTCAGGAACCACCCCAAGAGTCGCGAAGACCTTCTCTGTCTCAACTAACCAAAACTCGACCTCTTCAAAAGAGGATGTCCCTGCGGAGGTAGATGGGTTTAGTCTCTTATACCTCTTAATGTAGATTGGGTCCATCATGGGTGAAACTAGGTCCCATGGAAGAGGAACTGGATTGTGCTGGGGAGGGACCGGGTGGCCCTGTGGTGGTGCCGGATAATATGGTGGGAGCATCGGGTTGTACTGTGGTGGTACTAGATAATGCGATGGAGGCACCAGATTGTGCTGTGGTGGTGCCGGATAATACGCTAGAGGAGCAGGGTTGTACCGGGGTAGCTCTTGATCTTTCCACTGTAAGGGTGGCTCAAAGTATGGCAGTAGAGGAGGGTTAGACAGCTCCCTCATTTTCTCCCGGGCCTGCTGGGCAAAGATGAGTCTCTCCAGCATCTCAAAGAGTCAGTCAACATACTCTCGAAGTGAGCCATCCTGGACTACTCGGTTTAGTGGAGGTCTTCCTCTCCTTATTTCTTATAGCTGCATTTCATAAGGAAATGTAGAGTGATAGTTTTATCTTTGGTGTTTTTAAGTCTTTGTGTAATGAATGGTTCCAAGAAATGCGGCTCTGATACCAACTGAAACGACTCAAACACTGGGGTAAAATAAATTTGAATTAAAGATGCGGAAACGTATAATAACATTAGTATTTAAATTCCTTACACATAAATTTAAATAGATAATAGGGTTACGAAAATGTAGCGGTTCATAAAAAAGACGAAATAAACATATGAAAATAGTAAATAAATGTTGTAGCGAAGTTAACATCCAGTAGCTCTTGATAGGATCCAAGGGACACCTACTCACAGCTCTCCTGCTTATTAGGATCTGGATCTTGATCTTCTTGATCTAAAATAGTTAATAAGATGAGCTACACTAGTCCAATAAGAATATCACACTACTCACTGATATGAAAACTGAAGGTTGGTAAAAAAATATAAAATGACTAATTGAGCTCTTAATTTAAGTAAGTTCATTTATCATAAAGAAAACTATTTATTGCATACTTACTGTTATGAGATTTCCAAAATCAACCTATAAAGACAATAATATTATAATTTTTTAAACAAGTGAGTAAGAACAATAACTTTCATTTTTATCTACTTATTGGCACCTTTAGGAGTCCATAAGGATGTCCCCCTACACGTGAACCCAATATCTAAACTTGTCAATTAACCGGCCATCCCCATACCCCCTCCGGTATGAGCGCCAAAAATATCATCCCTTGATATCTCGTCCAGTATAATGGTGAACCGGACCGTCTCTATATCCTGTCTGGTATGAGTACCAAAAATATCATCATTCGATATCCCGTCCGGAATAAGAAAATGTTCACAGTAGGGTTCCCTATATACCCATTATGTCTACCATCTCCCATGATATCTAGTATGACAACCATTTATTACTTCACATCATCAAACAATTCTCCATTTGTATATTAATTTCATGTTTCACAATCAACCGAAAATTACGCAAAACAAGCGATATATATATCAAGAAAACACACTAAATCATTTAACTATTTCAATATATTATCATGTATTTAAAGTTGTACAAGCAAATAATCAGTTAAACATGGTAAATAAATAATTAATCAGTTCTGATTCCATTAGTGACATGTAATTATTCTCAAAGTTTTTTGAATTTCACAAAATACCATATTATTGATTATTAAGCTTCAATTCCATAATGGGGAATAGGGTGAGGCATTCTTACCCAAATCGGTATTTGAAACACCGTACTTTCTACCGCGTCTTCTAGCGGTCCCTAAATTTTCCTGCGGAGATTAAACACATTTCACATAACAAAATAAAAATTCAAAATTGGTGTTAAAAATCTCTTATGGTCAATTTTAGGATTCTGGCACGGCGGCACCGCCGCCACCTCGGTCTCGTTGTTTTCAACTAATTTAGGTCGGTTTTGGCCAACTTTACACATATCCCTGTGAAAAAACACTTTAGGGAGTATCAGTTGGCCAAAAAAATCAAGAAAATAAGACCTACCGATGATGGGGTTGCCGAGTGTGGTGGCTCTGCCGGCTCTCCTTCACGACTGGGATTCCTCCTTCGGTCAATTTGTAGAAAACATAACGGTGAACACAAAAGTGAAAAAATTACACAAAACGGGAACTAAAAAGGGGCTCATCGAAGGAGGTAGCTAGTTTTGCATTGCGACAGCTTTGTCGGGCTTTGCCCGCGATTTTCGACTCACTCGTCGTTCGTTTTACTCTGATATGGCAATAGGGGTGCTTGGTAGGAGAATCTTTATCTTTTTTGGCAGTCGAAGGTGGCTCTGGTGTGGCGGCGATTGGCGGTTGGCTTTCTTCTCTAGTGTCTAGTCCTTCTTCTCCGGCAGGAGGGCTGGCATCTAGGGTTCGGGTTCCGTGTGATACGAAATATTTATACCCATCCCATGTTAATCTGAACCATCCATTACGATCGATCTCATTCGTCCGATCGCACCTAAGAAGAAAACGAATCCGAACCGTTCATCGCAATTAATCTCGACCATCCAATTGCACCTAAAGTAAAAACGGATCCAAGCCATCCACACGCGCGAGATCGATTCTGAGCCGTTCGATCACAGGGCATGCGGGTCGCCAGCGTAGCCTCCCGCGTGGCGCTACGTCAGCACGCTTGGTCACGCAGCGCGCTCCGATTCATCGAGGCTGTTGACTGGACAGTCCTACATGGCCGAACTTTCTTTAATTCACTTTCTGTTTTCAATTTTTCTTTTAAAAACACCACCCGAACTCAAATTTTCACTATTTCTTCTCAAAATTATTTTCAATTTCGTCCATAATTCGTTTTTTCTAAAAAATTCAATCAAATTAAAATAAGATAAAAAATTTTCAATTATTTTATATATATATATTCATAATCCGTACCGGACCAATTTTTGGGCCCGGGTGTTACATAATTAGTCTAATCACCTTTATTTATATATATATATTTACTACTCTAATTAATTACGATGATATGATTATATATACATATATATATAAACTAATGAACTATTCATTGTTTCTCACTAATATGTACATAATTTCAATAAAAAAAAAATATTATTGCAATAGATCACTTGAAGATGAGTGCTAATTAATTTGGTCTTACAAAGAATATGCTCTAGTACTTGTGTGTTGCTTAAGTCAATGACAACAGTATACAAAGATTTTTATACAGGAAAGATAATATTAATTATTGTAGTTGAATAAATTTAGCATATCTAACTCGTGAGGCTGCTTTCTTAGTCAATTAATTATATATTAATAACTATTAGCACATATATATATATATATATATATATATGAATACGAAGAGATGTAAAGGGAGTTGCAACCAACTAAATCTTATTATGAGAAAATATATAAGAAAGTTGGAAGGTAGATCCTGGTTGGTTTATTTTATAACAACCTAAAACAGCAGTACATGACCCAATTCCTTTTTAATATGATTAAACATATTGAACTTAAATTTTCAGACTTGTGTGCTATCAACTGATGAAGTTAAAAGTAATTAGACAATTGAAATGATGTTACATCAAAATCTGATTATCTCTTAATCTTTTACAGTAAACAACTTTAGGGACTAAATTTAATCAATTTTTCTACATGTAGATAGTATACCATATTGAGTTACTATATCTAAACATCATCCTTTATGCATACATATATGAAGACAAGATTAAGATTTGTATAATGAGATGTTTAACCTGTTGAGATTCATAAGGGATATTGGAGCAAGTTTACTGTAATAGACCAAAGAAGAGGATTTTTGGGCCCTGAACTCAGACAAAACTTGAAGAAGGTTTTTAATTTCTTATTTTGACTTGCTCGATCTACAACTCTCCACAATAAAATACGCCCAAAACAAAACCGCTTGAGGGTCTCGTTTAGAAAAAGGAAGAAGAGAGCTTGCATAACAAAACCATGTGATGATAAGAAGGAGAACAATCGACCGGAGCACCAATCGTCACCAGCGGTCAAGTCTATGGCGAACCTGCACGAACATCCATTCTCTGAAGCAAATCCAAGCAGCACTCGTTGTCCATGGTTTTAATTCAAACAAATCAGCCTTGAGAGAGCTCGTTTTTTGCGCCGCCATGTCTATTCCAGGCGCTATAAACTATGCCCACCAACTGTTCGCTCAAATCGCTGAACCGGACACCTTCATTTGGAATACCATGATAAGAGGCTCAGCTCAGAGCCTGAACCCACTAGACGCTGTCGTTCTCTTTGCCCAGATGGAGAATCAGAATGTAAACCCCGACTGCTTCACTTTTCCGTTTGTTCTCAAGGCCTGTACGAAGCTTTCGTGGAGGAATATGGGGTTTGGGATTCATGGAAAGGTGGTGAAACATGGGCTTGAAATGAATAGTTTTGTAAGAAACACTCTGATTTACTTTCACGGGAACTGTGGGGATTTGAGGGTGGCAAGTGAGCTCTTTGATGCTTCTGCAAAGAAGGATGTTGTTGCATGCTCTGCTTTGACGGCCGGATATGCAAGAAGAGGAGAGTTGACTGCTGCAAGGCGTCTGTTTGATCAAATGCCAGTTAAAGATTTGGTTTCTTGGAATGTGATGATTACTGGGTATGCCAAACGTGGGGAGATGGTTAATGCAAGGAAGCTTTTTGATGAAGTTCCTAGAAGAGATGTAGTGAGCTGGAACGCAATGATTGCAGGGTATGTTCTATGTGGTTCTCATAGACAGGCCTTGGAAATGTTTGAGGAGATGAGAAGCATGAGTGAAGAGCCTGATGAGGTGACATTGTTGAGTTTGTTGTCTGCTTGTGCAGATTTAGGAGATATGGAAGTTGGGAAAAGGTTCCATCACTCTCTTTTGGAGATGACGTCAGGGAATTTAACAATTTTGCTTGGGAATGCACTTATAGACATGTATGCCAAGTGTGGAAGCATTGGAAGTGCAATGGAAGTGTTCAGAGGGATGAAAGAAAAAGATGTATCAACATGGAATTCTATGATAGGAGGATTGGCCTTTCATGGGCATGCGAAGGAATCAATATCTCTGTTTACTGAAATGCAGTCCTCAAAAGTGAGGCCAAATGAGATCACTTTTGTTGGAGTTTTAGTTGCTTGCAGTCATGCTGGGAGAGTTGAAGAGGGTCGTCAGTATTTCAACCTTCTTAGAAAGGTGTATGACATTGAGCCAAATATAAAGCATTATGGTTGTATGGTGGACTTGCTAGGGCGTGCTGGCTTATTGATGGAAGCATTTAAATTTGTAGAATCGATGGAGGTTGAACCCAATGCCATTATATGGAGGACTCTGCTTGGAGCTTGTAGAATTCATGGAAATGTTGAGTTAGGGAAGCGTGCAAATCAGAGATTACTTGAGATGAGAAGGGATGAGAGTGGGGACTATGTATTACTCTCTAACATATATGCTTCACAGAGTGAGTGGGACAGGGTTGAGAAAGTAAGAAAATTGATGGATGACACTGGGGTGAGGAAAGAGCCTGGCTTCAGCCTTGTTGAAGGATATGACAAAGTGCTCATGCAGTATTTACTTGACCCAAAGCCAAATTTGAAATCAAGGTATCTACAATCTTGAGCTGGACAGTAGTGACGTACCATTCTTTTAAGTACAACATAATATATATGAAAAATTTCAGAAGACAATAGTCCAAACTGACTTCCTAACATAAAAAAGAATAGAAATAATCATTGACTTAAAACATAAAAAATGAGGTACTAATTCATTGGAGCTTTCTTTTTATCCTTGAGAAAGGCTTGTTTACTCTCATCTTCATGAATTTGTGGTGTACCAAAATTTAGCTGTAAACCCAATTTAGATTAGGTTTCATATTTAAACATGCTTGCGTTGTGTAGTACCTCACTTAATCAACAGAGGTATGTGATAAATTTTGGTGGTATGGTATATATTTGCACCAAAACTTTGTAAGGGATGCTAAGACTTGATTAAATCTAAGAAAAATTTCAGATTTCATTATCCCTTAATCTTATTCATGCACATAAACTTGTATATTATGTGCATCTCTGCATGCCCAAAGATGATAATTCAATCAAAGTTTGGCACGGAAATCTTGAAAATTACTAGTCAATATATGGAAGGATTAAGCACCGTTTTTCTGGTTATCTCAGTATCTGCTATGTAATACTAATTAAACTTAGGGAAATTCAAATATAGAGTTAAAAGAGAATAAAGATAAGAAAGGAAGAATCAAAGACAACAAACCCATTTCATTACAACATTAGAAATGAAATGTAAAAGCATATAAAGGGGAAAGCAACAACTGAGTTGACTTAAATAGTGATATAAGTCAAACTCTTTCACACTGATAAATTACACATGTAGAAATGAAGTGAATTAACGTCGAGAAAGGGCAAATGCAGAGAAGAAGATAAGAAAGATGAATAAAATGACTGCTCCAAATGATCCAATCAAAGAGCCAGACACGCGCTCGCAAAAAGAGTTGAATTGTTGGCAGATAGCAAACCAGTTTGTCTTTGTATTCCCTTTGTGTGCTAAGTACACTATTGCTGCTGCGGCCGATGCTGCCGCTGTTAAAAGAGCGAGCATTATCTGCAGATTAAGTAAATTTAATGTATTAAAACTTTGATGAAATTAAAACTAGATAATTAATTAAAATTATAATCTGTAAATAATACAGGATTGAGTTTGGCATCTAACCTTAATTAATGGTAAAAACTAGAACTTACCATGTCAAAGAAAATCAACACAATTCTAGTGTTTTGTGCTTTTCTTCTTACAATGTGAAAAATGGACAAAGGGAGAGACAGGAGGAGATAGGAAGCAACAATCCCATTTGCCACCAAGAAAAACCTGTTTTAGTTAACATACGTAAATTATCAGCATGCATATACACAAACCATATATATATATATATATGTGTGTGTGCATGTGTATGATATCTCTTCTAATGGATGATATATTAACCTTAAGTATTACATGTAATGAAAAAAGAATAATTAACGTACGTGAATGTTGGAAGATCATCATACTCAGCTCTGAACCGAATAAACTGAGTGAAGAAAGGGAGGGTCTCATCACTGGTCGCCATTGCAATTGCACTGCCTAGAGTAGCAATGAATGCAAGCAATCTCAAAACAAAATCAAATATAGAAATTCCTCTATTTCTCTCACCTCCAAACTCAATAGCACCACCTCCTTTCATTCTCTTTTTCTTTTCTTGATCACGTACGTAGTTGGTCTTGCTGTCAATTTGCTTCAAGCTTCAGCGTTGAGATTTGAATTTGCATGGAAGCAAATTTTGATGGGTATATATATATATGTGTGTATGAGAGTAGTATCCATGAAAATTTAAAGATAAGTAGTTTTGGTATGTGGCAATAACATGACCGTACTGACTAAAGCTGGGAGAATGCCTTATTTTATTACCAATTAGCATCATATGTTACCTGCCGTACTTGCTCTATCATTGGTTTCTTTTAAATTTAATATTCACAGAAAGTTGACAACATTGTGTGTTTATATATGTATTGGTATGAAAGATAATATATATATGTGTGTGTATAAGGTCATCGACATACTCCAACTCCACCAAAGGACGTACAATATGCCCAATCTAGTAAAAAAGGATTTAGAATCATAACACTCTTATTTGGAAATTCCAGAATATCCATTTATCATGGTTTGAATGTTTATATTATTTTGTGGAAGAGAGAGAATATGCGGGCAGTTGAAATAGATTTTCCAGCCCCAATGTTAGGGAGGTTTTGTTGGAGAATGACTGGTGCATAATTGAACGAACCCACTTGATAATCAAACACTGCTAGCTGATTAAAACTTACACACACGACTTGAGAAAAGCTTCCTTCTCCTTATTTTTTTTAATGGTGGATTTTATTGCTATATACATATATATATATATATATATATATATGGCAAGAAGCTACTGCATTTACAAGTGGCAGTCACGCGGTTTGATTTTTCTAATTTTCTGTATACTAAACCCGGTAACCACAAAGAAAAAGTATATCTATACGCACGCACACACACACATTATATATAATACTGGTATACAAATGTTGTCAGTTACCAGGAGTATTTGAATGTTTGAGATAGTTGAAATCCTTAAATAGTGGGATTGACGTTTGTAAACAGTAGATTTATTATAGTGTTTAGAAATGGAGAGAGCTTTATGCTCGAAGTTATTTATGCAAGGCCAAAACATAATTGTAAAAGGAAACTTCAAAGCTAGCTAAACTAAATAGGAGATAGCGTCAAGGGGACTCCTGTAAGGGGAATTTGCCATATTTATAAATAGAACATTCTCAACTAGGTTCACTGGCAATAGGATTATGTGGACCAAAAATATGTATTTCTAATATTGGATGGATAGAGCTTTACTCTAATGTAGAGAGTTGTCTTTTATTTTCCCAAGGATGCGTGTGAAACCTTCCCAAGCTTTACTCCGGCCGAAGCCCTTTTAAATATGAGTTGGCTTAGGAAAGTTGCAGGAATTTCTCCATCACAATAGCTACCCGGTGGTTGAAGAATAAGGATGCTATTGCGAAGTCGATGCTTGCTTTGTGCCAGGATACTTTTTGGAGATTTTTCATATGTACGAGAAATTTTTTTTTGCATGCATCAAGAACATCAAAATGAGCTTATAAGTTTTACTTTCTTTAAGGATATTAAAAAAAAAAAAAAAAAAGGAAACCGAGAAATCCTTTATCTACAAAGGGCTTTTTTCAGGTAAAAGAACATCTTACCAAGACTTTGATTCGAAATAATAATTTTAAAAAATAAAAATAAAAAAATCTAATACTTCTATGCATTCAAAGAATGAAAAACTATTTTTCAAGAGTTAAAAATAATGATGGATAATTGCAGAGACTAAAAAAAATTATAATAGATTTTATAGTTCTTTTTTAATTCTGTTTTAACTTAGATATTTTAAATATTATTTTTATTTATTTTATCCTAAATTCTTAATTTTAAAAATATTTAATTAATTTAACATCAGTAATTTTATTATAATGTTATTATCAAGTTCTTAAAAAATCGTATTAAGAATGTGTTTTGGTATGTATAGATAATTTTTAGATAGTACTGTTATAATTTATAAAATCTTTCACTCTGTGCACTCTAAGAAGTAAAAAGAAAATGTGGATGATGACAATCAAAACTGATTTGGTAAGAGTGATTTGAGCTGGGCATTTATTAAAAAAAAAAACTCTTAAATCAATGGACTTTAATAAAAAGTTTTTTGCATGATGTGATTAATTATACCTCATCCTTTAGCACACAAGTCCTTGTAAATGGCTCTTGTCAGTATAATTAATTATATCTCATCCTTTAGCACACAAGTCCTTGTAAATGGCTCTTGTCAGTATAATTAATTATATCTCATACTTCGCCGCACAGGTCCTCGTAAATGACTCTAAACATGAGAGCTTTAAGCCCTTCAGGTGTATTAATTTGATCTCCCCTTGTACTCGTATACTTTGTGTGGAGAGAATGACTTATTTTATTTAAGCTGAAATGAAGAAAATTTCTCCAAACCCAATAAGTTATACAGTCTTGGTCCTCCCCTAACTCATATTCTTTGTTTTTTTCACAAACGATTTCGTTTCATTTGTTAAAGCTGCTGCCAATTAGATTAGTCATGAGCTGAGTTTATTGAAGTCACCTCACTTTTGACTTAAGAACGTATTTAAATCTGCCTGTCCTTCATAAAATTGAGTTCAAAGGAAATTTGATGGTTAAGTTTATGGCAAGGACTTTACAATGGCTAAATTGATTTTATGGCTCATCTATTTGCACACAACATAATCTGCTTTCACAAAAAAATTACTATAAAGCTTGACGAGCTCAATTATAGCTTTTTTTAGGGGTCTTCTGATGAGAAAATTATATTTATTTTTTTAAAAAAATATTCTTTTTCTACCACATGATTAATTGTTGTTTGAGTTTTTAAAATGTGACTCATTGTAATGAATCATTTCTCAGTAAATTTATGTGATGGATGCTTACGGGTCTAGAAGAAAAATAATAATTCATATTCAAAGGAAAAATTATAGTTCTACCCAGAAGGCTTGCTCTCAGTTTTAAATGGGTAATTGTAAATATCTTCGTATATTGGAAGGGTGGCTTCATCTACAACCTCAGTGCATGTTAAATTAAGGGATATTGTTGAGGAATTAGAGTTTAACTTAGGTAACAAATTCTCAAAATTGTTCTGGAAGTCAACTCCTAGGCAATTATGAGCCTTATTCGCATGTATGATATAAGAGATTTCAGGGGCTATAATTTAGTTGTGTTGAAGTTGTTATTAGCGAGGAATTAGTTTTGTTGTATGTCTGAATTCATTTTGCTAAGGTAACTAGTTTGCTTCTTACATGTGGAATGCATAATCAAATGCTAGGTACTTGTACTCTTGATCATCTTCAGGCATACCTCAACTTGATTATTGGCTTATGATCATTTAACATCTTCTTGCGCGCTAGGTTTATTAAATGTTAACCTTGTGTTTTAACTTTATTACTAAAAAAATATGATAAAATGGTTATTGAGATGGTAAAGTGCTTTTGAATCAGTTAGAAACTATAAAATTTCCTCTCCTTTGTTAAAAAATTAATCTCTTTTAATAGTTAAAATTAACTTACATGCAAGGACTAAGAGATAAATTTTTTAAAAGAGAGACTAGTGTTTATCAAACATAAAAAGATGAACATTTCTTCCTTTTCTTTTCTTTTCCCCTCGTCCTCTCAATCCAAAAATGGTTTAAGACTCAAATTCCTGAGATGTCACAATGAAAACTTTCACACATTGACTCACAGAGAGAACTTAAATTGGAGATTACTAGCAGGCGAAATCAAGAATTTTTTATTCAAATTTTATCAAGAACGGCCAAATTGATTTGGTAGTAGTGCTTTGCAACTGGAGGTCCAACTTCCTTTTCACTGAAAATAATGTTCACTACAGCAGTTTGCCATTGGAGTTTCTTTCTCTTTAGTATACCCACTTCCAGAAAGAAGCCTTGATAGAAAACCCCGGTTATTGTTATTGCTGATTTTATCTTTGCCGTTGGCATTGCTCAAATTGCTTATAAGAGACCAATGTGTTTCAAAGTCTGGTTCATAACCACTCTGCTGCATTAGTTGCATGAGCTCTGATGCCTTTCTGAGATTATTTTCTGCGTGATGTTTATTAATGACAGAGGAATACATCTCTCTTGTTGGAGTTTCTCCTAACTGAACCATTGAAACCAAAAGCTTTTCCGCTTCTGCAGTTTCTCCTTCCTTGCATAACTTATTCACAAGGATATTCCATGTGCTTATACTAGGCTTAAGATCCCTGTCCAACATATCAGTGAGGAAATTCATAGCTTGGTCCAACCTATTACATGTACAGAAACCACAGATTACTGAATCATAACTGGTAAAATCTGGGATTTGTTCTTTCTTCAACATTATGTCGAGAAGACTAACAGCTGTGCTCATTCTTCCAAAGTGGCAAAACCTCTTAATAAGATTGTCGTAATTGATAGAATTAAGAATAAGACCTTTATCAACTAGTCGAGCCAAAAACTGCTCTGCTTCGTGAAACCTACCATGAGAAAGAAGACCCTCAACTATTGCATTCTGAGCAACTGAACCATGATGCCAGCCTCTCAATTCCATTTCTTGACTCAACTCCAGTGCCTTCTCTAGTTCTCCAATCTCACACAAGAAACTTATTGCAATTCGTAAGCTGCGGTTGTTTGGCTTAAGTCCCTTGGAAATCATAGACCAAAAATATTGCATTGAACTTGACCTGTAAAGACACAGAGAAAACCCATATACAAGAAAATTATAAGTGACTTCATCAGGAAGCAACCCCTTCTCTCTTAAGTCATCTAAAGCTTTGTTCACATGTAAACTATTCTTAGCTGAGAGGAGATAGAAAATCAGAACGTTATAAATGATGAGATTGTGGGACTTGCTCTGTCCAAGCATGAACTCCTTGAGACTTGAAGCCTGAAGGAACCTGCCTTCCATACACATCATGCGTATACAGCTCCCATAGCTTGAGATCGAGAGGCTTATATTTCGCCTTATCATAACTCCAAGTGCTTCCCCAACTTTCCTCCTGTTGCTAGCTTGGCAATAACCTCTAACCATCATATTATAGATATCAGCAGCCAGGAAAAGACCATTTGACCATATTTCCTGGAAGATACTTTCTGCCTCTGAAAGCTTTTTTGTCAAACAAAATCCCTTTATCATAGCACTCTGGATAGGAAATGAACCTGTTGGTTGATCTTTCAAGCTAATCTCTCTTAAAGCAACAGCTTTCTCAAATTTTGCTACACTACACAGCTGAGGAATTAATATCACTGATATATCAATGCTTGGCGTCAAGTTCTTTGCCAGCATATTGTCCAATATTGTAAAGGCAGATGAAATGTTTTTCTCCTCGCACAATCCTCGTAAAAGATGGATGTGAACATCCTGACCCAAGAAGCAGCCCTGCTTCTGAAGTTCTTCTACTAACACTTGTGCAACGCATGAAAAGCCTGTGCCACAAAGCTTTTCTATGAACATATGATAGATTTCTGACGTTAATTGAGGATAGGATACTAGCATACTCTCGAGAAGGTCCAATGCTTCCTCCAGCAGTTTCTGTTGGCAAAGATATTCCCAAAGAGCCTTACAGTCATCCAATCCTGGTACCCACTTGTTACTTCGAGCAATAATCCAGCAACTAAGAAGGTCCCTCAGTATTCCTTTTTGACATAAACCCTTCAATAGAGCAGTATATGACTTGCTACTGACTGCTAGATCCCTTTGCAGCATTCCATTGAAAAGAAGCCTTGCCTGGTATATGAATCCCTTTTTGCAGCCTTCTTGGACAAGAAAATTGAGAGTCTCTTCATCTAGCTGATTAACCAACTTTGGCCAACTTTGCAAGAGAATGGCACTTGTCCTGATTTGGGAGCGAGATGTACAAAGCTTCTTCAGTAAAGTCGAGAAGACTGACAAAGATGGTTCCTGCCCCCAGCGAACCATTTCATCCACCAACTTAAATGCAGTTCTTAAGTTTCCGTTACTACATTCTCTCATTACAAGAAAATTAAAATCACGTAGCATGGAATTTTCAAGAACATTATTTATTCTTTCTTCGTACTCGTCAAGGTCTGTATCTAAATATAGCCCATTCCCAATATTATCAAAGAACTCACTCCTAGAAAGTTCAGCATCATTGTCCCTTTTCAACTTCACAGTCTCAGGATTGAACCCTAAGATGATAAATGCTTCGGAAAGTGGATCACTTAGTGAAGAAAATTCAATTAAACCATATCTGACCATATTGCATACCACCATCTTAGCTTCTTCAAATTGCCTCGCTTTACAGTAACCAGCTAATAAAATTGTAAATGTTGATAAGTTGGGTATTATCCCACTATCAACCATTTCATCAAGGAAATGACGAGCCAACTCCCACAAATTATCCCTAAACGTGCTGCCTATAAGAGCATTATAGGTACATACATCAGGTTTCAGGCCCCTCGACAAAATCTCAGATAAATAAATAAAGGCACTTCTTAATTCTCCTCTGTGACAACTCCAGCTAATCAAGATCCCAAAAGTTACTTCATTGGACCTAAAACCCAAATGCTCAAGTTCTTGCCTGAACACATCTGCTCTCCCCACATCGAATTTGCTACAAAGCGTATATATGATTTTATTGCCAACAATTACATCTACTGCACGCTTCATTTCAACAAGGAAACTCAGTGAATCTTCAAAGTCATTCTTTTCACAATACCCATAAGCAATCTCATTAACAGCAGAATCACTGGGTTCAAATCCCAAAGCCACGACCTCCCTTAGGAGATTTCTAGCTTCTTGAATCTTCCCTTCTCCACATAGTAGTCTGATGACCTTATCAATAGTAGCTATTTCTGAATCACTCAACTTGATCCCCAACCACACTCTATACAAACAAACTTGGAACGCCAATGGGTTTCTCTTCATTTTAGCCAAAAGGTCTATAAAAGCACAGAAGCACGACAAGGATGGAACCAAACCAAGATTTTTCCTCATTAGATCATAAACAAAAACAGCGCTCTCCACATCACCATGAACTACATAACCATGAATCAAATTACTGAATATTTCATGACAATCCAACAAAATTCCCCGACTCTCCACTTCGACAAGCAACAATTCAACTTCTCTAAGCATCCCTGCATTAATAAGCACCGAAGCCATGATTTCACATGACTTGGGAAGATGCTTGAAACCCTTATCCTGCCTGCTAGCCCAACTGAAAACCCCCCATAAAGATCCAACCTTTGTAGTTCTAACTGCAACTTTTCCATATTCATACTCAAAACCAAGTAATATTTCAAGGACGTTTTCAGGCTTCAAGTGACCAAATCTCCTAAACCTACGACTAATATCCGGTACTACATCAGATATGTCCAAAAGAAGGTCTTTGAGAGAAGCGTTGCCATATAATTTCTCTTTTGCGTCAAACAAATGAGAACACCTCAAAATAACAGCTTTTGAAATACCAGAGCAGTCAAAAGAAGATAAATCTACCTGGGTTTCTGTTGTTTGGTTTCCTGAAGAAGACGAGAATGAACTACTTGCGAAGAACCGATAATTTGTTGGGTTAAAAGAGAAGCGAAATAACAGAGAGCGAACTTGCTTAACTGGGAGCTTGTTGGGGTTGACAATGGAGAGAATCTGGGGCATGTGATTACGGAGAATTTCGCAGGGGACGGCGGCAATTGTGGTTCTTATTCTCATGAATGTCTACATTGCTGGATTGAGTAAGGTTTTGAGATGGCAGAAAGTGTACTTTCTAGGAAAAATGCGAATGGAAAATGGAAATCGAAGAAAAAATTAAATAAAAATAAGTTAAAATTTTTAGTTAAAAATAAGAACAACATGATAACTTTGTTAAGAGAAAAAAAAAAATAGAGAGAAATACTAATTACATACAGATAAATATATAACTAATAAAATGTTAAAAAATAAATTTAGTTATTTTACTTAAATATTGAAAAAGCAAAAGCATTGAATCTAAATAAGTATATACAAATAAATATATATGACTAATAAAAATATTTTTAAAAAAATTTTTTACTTACATATTAAAAATAAGCAAAAGCATTGAATCTAAATAACCTTATTATTGTATTTTAATTAAATAGTAATACAAATGTTAAAAACTAGAATGTTATTTGAAAGAAATAGTAATTTAAAATATTTTATCTCATAAAAATCAGTAATATAACCAAATATTTAAAAAAAAATACAAAATTAACTATCAACAAAAACACAGAAAATAATAAGGTTAAAAAGAAACTATATAGCTATATTTTGTTAGAGAAACAAATTCATATATTTGATTTTATATATATGTGTGTGTGTGCACGCGCGCGCATACATTTAAGAATGAAAAAAATGATTTTTTAGAGGATTCGAAATTGAATGTCGAATTTAAAGATATAGAATGTGTATTTATGGTGTAAATATTTTTTTAAAAAAAAAAAAAAAAAATTGTTCATAGTTGTTGGTTGTGAGCAAGTGAGCGACTAGAAGCGCCTTTGAACTTTATTTGTTTCGTTATAAATATAACTCCGTCGCTATTGAGGTTAGAGAAATTTAAAATGATCTTGCCTAAGAGTGCAGGGTTTTGATCATTTGTTGTTTGATTCGAGTTCTTATTTTTTATTTTTAACTATGCTCTATACTGTGTAACAAAAAAATATTACTTGGATGTATATTATTGCTAATAATTAAGATGTATCAAGAAAATTAAGAGAAAATATTTTAAAACATAAAGAGAAAGATAAGTGGAACACCATTACTTAAAAGACAAAATTATATTTAAAGTTTTGTATTCAGCCACTCGAAATGAAACCTTCAAGAGAATACCAAATCTTTATACCTCAGTTAAATTTGAGTGCATGTACAATACACATGCACCTTATCATTGTCTTCGTGCCAGTTTAATGGAAATGCCTCTATGTTGCCTTGATTACATTTCATATAATATTATATTTTATACATCACATTAAATTTGTAAATAGAGACAAATGAAGAAATAAAGAATCCCAGATCTATTCCTGTGATTCTAAGATCCAAGTAAGAGTTGACTTTGAATCACTTGTATGTTAACAAACAAAGAGATGATACATAATATAAATACAATTTATAACATGTAGTGTAACAATAACTCCTTGGAGATCAAATTGAAGAAACCAGAAAAGAAATTAGAGAGAAATAATTTTAGAGGAAGAATGAACGAGAAGAAGACTGCAATGTTGATAGGATTTGCAGGTGCAGCAATCACTTTATGTGCATACTCACAGACCTTCATCTCCCCAACTCAGTGCATCACACTCGGCCTCCTTGTTCTCATCTTCGGCTTGCTCGTAGGAGAAGGTTTCATCCCTCTTTGATTTGATTCCTTTCAATCTCTATCTCTATCTATAACTATAACTATATATATATAAATATATGGTTTTGTATTCGAACTGAATTGGATTCTGTCCGTTGACTTTTTTGAGATCAATATGATGTTTGGATTAATTTTGATCTCTTGTTCAATAAAACATTAATTTTCAAATCTTAATTTGGAGAAGTTGCAATCAATATTTAGTTTCCATTAACGTCTGTGTGATAAGTATCGAAGCAATTAAATAGAGCCCAGCAAAGTACATACATATTCATCATCTTTAGTTGTACAGGTTGATACATATCTCATTTTCTTGGAGATTGATCATGAAAATTCTTATTTAAAAAATAATATAAGTTATACTTCAGAATATAGTTATTATACAAAATAAAGTTCTCACTGAAACTTGATTCTGGATTCACTCGAAGGCTAACGGGTATGTATAATATATATACTGCTGTGGAGAGAAATCACATATGTGGCTCCTTTTCCTTAAACCCAAAAAAAAAAAAAAAAGAAAAAAGAATTTATAGGAAAAGCTACAAGGTGAAGCCCTGCAGGTGTTAGGGGCATGCTATTTCAATTAAGCAAGCTTCAGTGAAGGATATACATATATATATACATGGAGGTCCAAAATACATATATATTGATTAACCCAATTTCATGTATACCTTTCAGTACCCTGTATAAAAACTCTGCAAGAAGATCAGAAATTAACTAGATTTAAAAAAGAAAAAAGAAAAAAGACATGACTACTCTATCGTACAGACACAAAAATACTTGAACAAACAGAAAGGCAAATTAATAATAATGGAAAATATGACTTCATTAATGTTTATTATTATTACCATTGTTATTATTATTATTATTGCTGAGATGAATGTTGACCATTAAGCACCATCATCTTTAAGCTTCATCCTCATAGTCTTGATCACCAGCATCATCATCATCACAAGCCTAGCATGAGAGAAGGAGGCAGCCGTGTAGCCAGAGACGACTTGCCGACGAACCTTTCTTAGTAAAGCTAACATCACATTACTAATTAACACTAAACAATAATGGGCATACATAGACAAAAGAATGAATACATATGCATATGTATGTGTGTTTGTCTGATTGTGAGTGTTTGACATATAAATATCGTGGTTTTGCAAGATATATATTATTAACTAAGCTTGCCGGCAAGTCATCCTTGGCTGCACCCCATAACCTCATACACCCATGCAAGACCACAGATGAAGAATATGTCCATAATAGTAATATATTCTAATACTGTTTTCTTATTGATCTCCACACACCCACAAAAGATACCCAACCAATCACTCATTTGAATGGAGAGAGAGAGAGAGAGAGAGAGGGAAATTTTCCCAAAGCAGAAAGATTACATTCTGTGCAAAATAACAGAATAAAGAGACAGCAGACAACACCTCTCTATATTTTTGCAAGAAAGTAAACACAGCATGTGTTTGTTTCCATAGCTTATGGAGACTGTGGAAACTAGTAGAGAAGAAGAAAGGCGATTGGACAGCGAAGACATCCATGGCAGGCCACGGACGAATAGGGTTTTTCTTGGTTTTAATTGGGGAGAAAGAACAAGGCTGTTGCTTTGATTATATAGACATATATAATCAATGATGCATAATATTTTTTACTTTTATTTCTTTAACGGGTAGTAAGTAAATAAGAGAATTAATGCATGGTCGCTTTTTGTACAACGAAGACAGCTCTAGAACTGTCCCAATTGATGTCCTTATCTCCATAGGGGTAAGTAAAGCTTAACAGTAAAAGTTTGAGTGACTTACAGGCTTGTTTTAGAGGGAGATGTGACCTTGCAGAGGTGAGACTACCAAGGACATTAAACCCATCTCAAGATCTATTGCCATCTCCCAAAAAGGGACTGGAGTAAAATTTCTCCACTTATTTAAGAGCAAAGAAAACTCTAGGGTTTGGTTGGAGTAAATGGAGTATCTGCACAGAATCCGTACCAGTTGGCTATGGGGTGAGTCGAGTTAGGTGAGTCAATTTACTTCATTTGGCTCTTCGACAACACCAACAGCAACCACTTCAAAAATTTTGTTCTTTCTTCAAATTGGTATTCAAAATCTGATAATCTTGAAGATGGATGCCTAAAACTCAAACCAACCCCAGTCTCATTTTTTCCCACTTAGATATCCAATCCGATTTAAGACATCTTCTTTAAAATATTCAACCCAATCTAACAATTATAATGTAATAAAAACTAATTTTCAAAATAAAACACACAGAATCTCAAAACTAATAATATCTCACACAAGAATAGATGTACTAATTCACACGTGTGATTGGAAGTGGTCGCCTAGCTTTTTATTTTGACCATTAATCCGGACAACCAAGTTTTTACTGATTTCAAAATCATAAAATACTTAATTATACATTAAGAAAAAACAAACCTCATAAATCTTAAATTCAAAAACTTCAAATTACCTTAAGCTTTATTATTTATTTCACTATTTTTATTACTTTTATTATTTTCTATTATTTATTATTTGATCTCACCAAAACAAAACCTGGCAATAAATTCCAGTCTGAAGCAAGATCAAAGCCCTTGGTTGTCCACGTTTAAAATGAAAATAAAGAAAATTTCTAACCGGAGTAATGATTAGCACCTCCACATCATTTAGGGAATAACTTCTTAATATGTATGAACTATTAAATATGTATGTCAAAATTAGCAAAATCATGCTGAAGATTAGTTAATTACTCACATATTCAAACAAACTCTGAGAAGATTATACATATATATTCTAAGACATACTACCACTACTTTTCCATAATTATATATGGGCTACACATCGAGGGTAACCCTCCCCGTCCAACATTGTTTGTTTTCGCTAACTTAAAAATGGTTCTAACCTGTTGCTGCCTGCCCTACCTTTTCAATACTCTTTCCCCCATCAACTTGAGAAACAGATGATTGTGATTATTGTTACCAACTAACACATAAAACTTGCATACAGACGAACAGCTAAATAATTACAGAAACTGCAGATTCAAAGCAGATAACACCTGCCAACAGTTGCATTAGACATTCAAATCCAATTCAATAAAAAGATACCATTTAAGAACGTTTCAATCACCCATAGTCATTGCAGCTAACATTTTGTTCCAACGTACCTTTCAGATCCTGATACTGCAACCCCAGATACTTCACACAGATGACAACCTCCCTAATGCAAACTAGCAAGAATATCTCAAGAATATTTGCACATTTATGACTCCCTTTATTACAAAATCAAACAGTCTAAGAACAACAATGCAAAATAAAGCACATAATTTCTTCTATAATACAACAATCAGTTAGACTATACTAAACCATAGAAGTGAAATTTCATAAATAAATTGGTAACTCAAGTAATTAAACTAGCACAAAACCCACTTCTAAATTGCCTCTAAACTAACCCAATTTTTTTTTGAAATAACTAAACTAAAACCCAAATTGAAGTAATAATCTCAAACTTCAATTGTAAGATTCAGACAAACCAGAATTGAAGTATACTTTGATTGTTTGATAACAAATCTTGACAACCCTTCCACCTTAATTACTACTTCATAAATCAGCCCTAATATTGATTTCACAGCTAAGAAGGTGTTAAGATCAGGACAGTCTATGCTTGTCATTGCTGGTAAAAAAGCTCAATACACACGATATGAAATGTACGAATGCTTCATCATATGAGGAAAGAGGTTCAGTGTTGAACAATCAAACCAACACTCACAAAAAACAACCATATCGAGATAAACAATTTTAGAGAGGCCAGATGAATAAAGCCCAACACTCTTCATACATGTTAAGGTAGGCAACTTGGTTTCCTAAGAAATTTGGACTAGAAAAATAAATTGAAAAAGCAACAACATAGGCAGCTAAAAAGGTTCTTGGGAACATGATACGATAGAACTTGGTAGTTGGTGTCAATGGACATGGCAAATTTCAACAGTGATAACAAGATCTCCACATGTATTTGGTTCTTCTAAGTAGAAGCATCAGGGTGGGCCATGAGTGTGTCAAGTCCTTGGTTCATCTGGTCGTCCAGTTTAGGCAGAGGCTTCATCAAAAGGCAGTAGGCTGGCTTCAGGCTTCACAGATCTCAGCTGTTTTAATGGAGAGGGAAAGGCAACAAAGGGAAAACAAGAACATCAGATTCCTACATAGGATAGATTGGTAGGTACCGTTATCAAACTGTCCTACTCAACTACTGGCAATCGCCAAAGGTAACTGGCAATTAATTGGTAGGCAGAAAAGTAAGGAATCTAAATCTACCTGTGCATACCCATCAACAAATTCTAGTAACCATAGCTTTTGCGCCGTGAAACAGGGTTATGACTGGATAACCTGATAACAGAAGCTCATAATAAGGATATTAGCAAATTCTAATTCACCGAGCATAAAATTGTAGAATCAAACAGAATCAATTGTAGCAACCTAAAAAGAACACAAAATGTCAGTATACTGACATCAAACAAAATTAAAGATAGCAACCTAAAGAGCAAATAACACAGTCTATATAGTGACAAGATTTAAATGTTTAAGTTACTCCAACAGAGGGTTCCTGTCCTCTATTCATGAGAATCCTCGGGTTATATTGAGGGTTAGGACCACTTTCATGGTAATTAAGAATCACTATGAGGATGCAGAGAATTATTTCAAAAAAAACTATGATGCAGAGAAAATAAAAAGAAAAACAAATTACCAATTGTCCCCAAACTATGTTGCAATTGAGACCCAAAACCTTTTTTTTGTTAGAAGTAGCCCCTGGACTAATAAATTTGTTTTAAAACGTACTTTTAAGAACTTTTATTGAAATAGCATATGTTCTTCAGTTTGCTCAGGTAACCAAAAAAAATGACAAAATATATAATACTTCTATTGACATGAATTAGCACTGAATTTTAAAAAAAAAAAAGCCACAAAAAAGGGTTATTGCAAGTGCAGTTTTCTTGTCCCACATCTGTTATTACTATTACTATTTTTTTAATCAACCGTTCTCACTAAATTTATTAAGGCTACACCTCAATTATTTATTTTCAAAACTACAGAAAATAAAACATAAACAAAACCAAAACAATTGCCAGTATCCATCAAAATTTTTCAGTTACAGAAAAAAAAATCAAACAATTTTATAAGCTTTAAGGACCCAACTGTAACCAAAAAAGAATTTTTAAAACCTAATTGTAACACGGGCAATGATCCAAAGAATAGAATAGTAATTTGCCCCAAAAGAATGAAGAAAAGAGTATGTCTTACCCAGAAGTACCACTCCTTCCCGAGGAATAACCTCCATAAGCTCCATAAGCACTGCTACTGCCACTTCCACCAATCTACAGATAAAACAGTTGATTAATAACTTACAAAAAACAAATCCAAGAGAACTGCATATCACGACAAATGCACATGGCACTAACTTCAACAAATGCATAAATTAACCATGTAGTCTCTTTTTTCATTTTCAAAAGTCTTTGAAAGATAACCTTGTATAAAGCATGTACACCATCTCTGCAAAATCATTAATGCATACCTGCGAACTACCATAAGCTCCATAGCCATCACCAACAGGCAAATCACTGGAGTTATAACCACCAGAATATGAATGCCCGCGCCCAAGCCTTTTGCTCTCTCTGCCTTCATAACTTACGCTTTCAGGAGCATCTGGGGCAACAGGAAGATATGGCAAGACTGGCAGAAATGTAGAAACAGCACCCTCTCTATCAAAAAGATTTGCCCTTAACCTTGTTGTTACTTGTACTAGAGCATCCTTAGCAACATCCATTTCCCCAGAAATCTTAAAGACAAAATACAGAAAATTTAAAGATTTATTGGAAATAACAGTTAAAAAAACAACAAAATGTTATCTCAGAATGATAACAAATCTGAACGCCGAGAATGGCCCTACCTGTACCATCTCATCATCATCAGAGGCAATCTTGGGAAGATTTTCCTTCGAAAGTATGCGGATATTAGCTTTTGTGACTCTCCGCATCTCAGTTATAATTGCTCCTCCTTTGCCAATAAGGCAGCCAATTCGCGAAGTGGGCACAAGAAGACGGGTCGTATGTGAGATAATTCCTGAATCTCTTTCCACTCTCTCACTACACTTTGGCTGCAGACGAACAGCCGCTTCTATTGTTGGAGAAAAAGTATCCTCAAAGAACTGAAGAAATGCAAGATTATAATATCATTAAAAGGAATAACAGGATCTTAGTCCCCAAAGCAGACTAACACCAAGAAGTAAAGTTTCACCTCCTTTGCTGAAATGGTGATTAAACAATCATCTCCTTCACTTGTTGAGCTATCAACTTTGATAGCTGCCCCAGAGTCCTGCCGTATCTGATTGATTATGGCACCACCCCTGCCTATCACACCTCCAATGTTCCCAATTGGACAAATCAAACGAAGAGAAAACTCTTTCGACGATGTATCATCTCTTGGAGCCGAATATAAAGAGCGTGGCCAATCTCCAGCATCACCTTTATATCCTCCATAGGGACCCATCAAAGGAGCTATTCCAACAATTGGGGCACCACCAGTTGGGCCAATGAGCGAACCAGACGGATAAGCAGTTGCAGATGCAAGTAAGTGTTGGGATCGTGATGGATTTTCATGAAGACGAGAAGCAATTTTATATAATGCCTTTTTGACAACTGCAGCTTCACCAGATATCTAAAAACCAAGAAAATGTAAATTTTTGAATAAACAAACAAATTTGTGAGTTTCAATCAACTAAAAAGCAAAATAAGAAATCAACAAAATATTCCAACGAGATCCACTCTCAACAAAGGGCAATCATATCAAGCTTGTTTACTCCTAAAATAACAACAGTAATAACATCAAAAGGCAAAGAAAAAAACAGTGACACAGGAAAAAGTTGGAGAATTCTCAACTATTTAGAACTACCCCTTTTTATAAATGTTCTAAGATTTTATACTGAATAATGGTTAATCAGTCAGATTTTCTATTGGGATCGATGTTAGTGGTCAAACTCCTGAGATGACTTTAATTAGCAGGAGCCAATAAATACTTACTTGACCTCTTACGGCTATTTTTCTGGCATTGGATCCAGAATTTTTATCAGCCTATCAGCAACTTGACAAGAAGTGTAACTTGCATAGCCATTGTGAAGATGCTCTAATAGAGGTACAAGAAGGCACCCACAATCTCTTGAACACACCGGAAGGGACTGTTTAAAGAAGATGTTGACTTTGCTGAACTAGATAGGTTTGAGCAGAGACTTGCTGGAGGGAGAAGGGGCTTATTCTCAAGAGGACGAAGACTCACTCTCATCAAAAGCACTTTGCGTAATTTACCCATTTACTATCTATTTATTCTAGCCATTGCAGTTAGTGTTGCAAGAAATTGGAGTCAAGTCAATGTAGGTTCCTATGGGGTGACTTGGAAGATAGAAGAAAATACCATTTGGTTGCATGGAATGAACTTAAGAAACCGATTCCCATTGGTGGGTTGGGCATTTGGTCCTAGTTGAAATGACTGTGGCATGGCGGTTAATGAATGAGGAGGGAGCTCTATGGAGACAGATCATCGCTGTGAAATTTGGGGTGGATAAGAGGGGCTGGTTCACTTGTATGGCTCTGCGGTCTCATGGGAAAAGCTTATGGAAAAAGATAGGGGCTGGTAAGGAAAGGTTTCTGAATTGTATCAGATGGAATGTCGGTAGGAGTGATAGAATCAGATTTTGGGAGGATTAGTGGTAGAATCAGACTTTAGGATATCAGTGGCTTGAAGGTGGCATGCTCAGAGATCAATTTCCCCAGATCTTTAATATTGCCAGGATAAAAGGGCAAAGACTTGTGACTGTTTTATGGGGCTTTAGGAGGAGAGAGGGTGTGGCAGGTCTTGGCATCAATAACCTAAATGACTGGAAAATAGGCGAATATGAGAAGTTGTTGAGATCTCTTTCGTTTGTGTCCCTAGATGGTAACAATGATAGTCCTCATTGGAGGGTCACCAATAATAGTTCCTTCATGGTAAAATTGCGGTACAAGTGGTTGCGAAAGTGTGATGACAATGCTGTTAGTTTACCACATAAACAGATTTGAAGGCATGTAGAGAGTGCATTCTAACAATATACCAGCTGAGGAGGGGAAAGGTCCTGGTAAATGCGTGTTATTTGTGTAAGCAAGCTGAGGAGAGTTGTAATCATTTGTTGCCGTGGTGCCCTATGGCATATGAGTTATAGATTGCTTGGAATCAACTAGGTGATGGCTGGTTCAGTTAGGGAAGAGTTGTGGGCTTGGGAGAATCTGAGGAGCAGGTGTATGTTTGCTGACTTGATTCCACTTACCATTTTGTGGACTGTGTGGAAAGAAAGGAATGAGAGAGCTTTCGATGGAATAGATGATGTGAAGGGTTTTGATGTTTAAGAATAGATGGTTTAGGACCTTAGATTTTTTCTTCATGGGTCATCCTCCAATGGTAATGGAGGCCTTTAGAAACTTTTTTGTCGTGATGACTGATTTGTAAATTTTGTACATGGGTTGCACCCCGTTGCTGCTCATAGTAACATACTTTTGCACTTTTTATTTAAATAAAAATGAACAGAGCTAGTCAGAGCCTATAAATATGAACGTAACTTCTGCTTACTAACATGAGATTCAAATATATATTGATTTGTTAGTCCAGATTTTATCAGCCTATTTTCTGAATTATTTTTTAGTCCTTCTTAATCACCCTCTGCATTAAAAAATATGGAGGCATTAAAAAAATTATATGCACAAAAATTGACCATCTAAAACACACCCGAGAAAACAGGGGCCACAAGATCACAAGCGAAATGAGAGAAGCAGAAGCAATGCACATGAGCTAACAGACTAAGGCAACCAATCATAACAGTTTACTCTAATACCTGAATAAGCTCATCTGAGTTTAAGGCACATGACGGCAAATGATCATCCTTGAGAATGCGAATTTGAGCTCCTGTTTCACTACGAATATTCTGAACTATCTGTCCCCCTTTACCAATAACACATCCAATCTGATCAGATGGTACAAGAAGTCTTGCAGTAATTTGGCGACCTCCTTCAGAGTCTTCTTCACCATGCAAGTCTTCTGCCACAACCCTGTCATGCACTTTGAACAATGCATCTTGAGCAGGGGAAATAAAATTTCCATTGCCTTCAAAGGCATTGGTCTCATCACTTGGGCTATAGATAGTAACAACACGTTCATCACAGCCTGGAACTGTCTCACCAATTCTAATCTTTGATTTAGTGTCTGCTCTTAGTTGCTTAACAATCTCTCCTCCCCTCCCAATAACGCTCCCAATCTTTTTCACAGGGCACAGATACCGGTATACAGTATCTTCAGAATCAATAACAAATTGATCTCGATCATCTCCTGGATTTCTCCTTTTATTTCCACCATTTTCAGAGTAATCAGAGTGAGAATGAGATCTCTTTCCGTAACTATTCCTCTGACCAGCCATTGTTATCAAGGAATCTAAATCTGTTTCCAGATCAAAGGGTAGCAAATATGAAAACATAAAAGACAATAAGTAATAGCACTGCAGAGAACCCATCAAAATCAAGAATACCTCATTTGGAAGTTATATTGTCCATTAAATTAACACCCTTTTCTCAAAACAAACAAAATGGAACATATAATCATCACTTTATGAACTTTGAGAATCCTAAAACAAAATTCCAGAGAAAAATTAAATAAAAGGCAAACCCACTAAAAATTTTCCATTGATACACTGGCAACAAGAATATATATGGGAAACAAAAACCAGACACATCATGAACCTTGGAACCACTAACTTGACTAACATCACGATTCAAACCACCAAACATAAATACAGATAGTACTTAAAACTCATCAACAAACAAACAAAAGCTACTAATATATCTAGGTATCGAACATTAAGTAAACCCATATTCATGCACTAAAATTTCCAACAACTTAAAGCGCACACATATACATATAACCCACGTATATTCCTGCCAAAATAATACTTAGGAAAAAAGATAGATCTGAGCTTCAAACAGG